GGTAAACCAAACTTAGCCTACACTTCTATGTGGTGATACTATTAATAGTTAGAGATTTGGACACCTCATATTGAATAAAGAAATGCTTAATTACCTTTTGGTTCAGTAATGCCACCTCATAAATTTAATTGTGCTTCCCTGTTTATAAAGATAAAATACCACTGTGTTTTAGACTTAATCTATGTGCATGTAATCTTGCTTCCAAGGACAACATAATTAGTTGCTTATCTGTTTGGAGAATTATGTATGAAGCTTTAGCTGCAGATAAAAGTTAATTACGTTTTGTCTTATGACCTATGAGAAAGGCTGTAATTTAGGTGCTTTTAGAGGTAAAGGGAAGAGAGCCAGTCTTCCTGTTAGAGGCATACATGTCCCTGTCCTCCCCATCAACCACATGTGTAGATATTGTTTTTTACAGGTTACGAAAGATTTTAATATTCATATATGACCCTATAATCTAGGGTTAACATTGCCCCCCTTTTTGAGATGAACATAAGTTTATAGGGGTTAAGCAACTTGCCTTAGAACACTGAGCTTAGAAATAGCAGATCCAGGACCTAAACTCAGGTGTTCTGACGCCAAATGGTGTGTTGTGGGAAACCAGACCCACACACTGGCTCTGCTTTGGAAAGGTTGGCCAATTCTGGAGGAATCTTGTTGGGATGGTCTCTATTTGTATTGAATAATAATCACATTACTATTATGTTCAGAATACTGTGTGTCAGATGCTGTGCTGATAGCTCTGTAAGCATCCGTCCCACTGGACAACTGAACAGACGAAGGCTTGAAGAAGAGGAATAACTTAGTGGTGGAGCCGACACTCAGACCGTCTGACTCCCAAGCTCATGCTCTCACCAGGCCTTTCCGTGATCTCTGTGGCTATCTGTCTGCCTTTGCATAGCTGAATTCATTCTGAGAACCTTTTGTCCTGAACTCTGGGCTTCCCCTCTCTGTCCTGACCTCTGCCCAGCTCACAGAGCAATGTTCATTGCCCATCAGCACAGGGGTTGGTCTCCTACACGCCACATTTCGTTGACCCGTTGCACACAGGACGCCTACACGTTGCTTGTTCGCCAGCTATTACCCAAGGAGGCCTCTCGGGTTTCTTTTCCTCCTCTGACTAATGCACTTGGGAAGAGGGGCTGGGAGGAGGGGAAGAGCAAAGCAAGTCCCCTGCCCTACACAGACCACGTGTGCCCAGAGCTGGTGAGCAGTGAATGAGCAGGGGTCCCGTGCATGGAACAAACCTGTCAGACTGTCAGCTTTCTCAGAACTCACAGTCAGCGTCATTAGTTGTTAACCAGTGGTCTCCAGAGGGGCGGGGCCTGACAACCAGAATTCTGGGTTCGAGCTCTAGCTCTGTCCATAGCAGTGGGATCTTGAGCCAGGCCCTTTCTCTGGGCCCCAGTCTCCCCTTCTCCAAACAGAGGCAGTAGGATTAGATGGTTAATGTTTTTTATTTTCTAAGTGGCCAGATGTTTGTGCTTCCCCGGTAAGCTGAAGCAAGAAGGAAGGAGGGAAGCAGAGAGAAGGTAAGGGTTTCGTGAGGAAGCAGTAGGTGGGCAGCACAAGCCTGAGGCCATATTAACAGCCCAGCTCTGTAGAGGGTCTGGGGGGGTCAGCAGAGACATTTTCTCTCAGGGCCGCTACAACGTGGAAAAGGTATCACTCTTAACCTTGATCGGATTCTGGCCCACAGTTCACATATACTGTCAAAATAATTTAATACAGATTTAACAGCATTTATTTACTTTCATACTGAAATCACTCAATGTTCTTTTCAAACAGATTAGAAGATACAGATAAGCCAAAGAGCAATGAATCCAGACCAACAGTCTCCAAACTTCTTTGACTCAATACCACCAGCAACCAGTTTTTGAGCACGCTTTCCCAATTTACGTATTTACATACATTATAAAACACACTACAGTGCAAATCAAGAAAGATAACAATAAAAAAAAGAAAGCCTCAAAGTCCTGAAGCTCAGCAGAGTGTCAGGCACCGCCCCTTCTGGAGAACACTGGTTAACATCTAGTGACACTGACTGAGTTCTGAGAAAGCTGAGGACAGTCTGACAGGTCTGTTTTCTGGGCACCCAGAGGCTCCCTCCAGGAAGTCCGCCCACATTTATTGGCTGGGTGAGTGGGGAGTGGGGGAGAACACAGGACTGTGCGAGACGAGGGGGGTTGGCTCTGAGCCATGGTGGGGAGGCAGAGCCCTGGCTGCGTGATGACTCACTGACATTTTCACCGAGACCAGGACTCCTGGGGGGCAAGCAAGATCTACGCTCCACCTGCCAGGCGGCCCTTCAGAGCTGTTTCTGCAACGCCGAGACAGCGGCCAGAACTGGAAAAGCCACAGGATCATGGAAAGTCAAGAGCGATTGTGACCGTAGCCTATCTAGGGAGATCCCCAGAAAATTGGGTTGGCCCCCAAATTGATGTGCACCAAATTTCACAGCTAGTTTGTGGTTAGAAGGAAACCTTCCTGCTAGACTGTGGGAGCACCTATAGGCATTTAAGTACATGTATAGAAAATCCAGTTTGCCTGATGAGTAGGTTCCCAGCAATTCAAGCCACTACCTCTGTTGTCATGATGATTCCTGTTTTGGGAGAGCAGCCCGTCCCCTCCTTCGGATTTCTGATGAGTAACTCCACCCAGACCAAGAACTACCTGGTAGACTTCAAAGGTTCCTTCTCTGGCTTTGGGAGCTGTTGGACTCTGGGGTGACGTTCCCTGAACCATGCTGATGAAAGTATAGAACTCACCTTCATCCTCACATCGTACTGTGTGTGTGTGTGTGTGTGTGTGTCTCGGCATGAGATAAGCATGTTTAGATTACTGCCTGGTGCATAGTAGGTTTCAATAAATATTAGTTCCCTTGCCCTTCTTTTGTGCCTTTGTCCCGGCTGCCACCTTTCTCTCCAAACCCCTAGACCCATTCACATCCTTCCCGGCCTCGCTCGAATCCCTGCCGCTGCTGGGCAAACGCTCCTTCCCGGGAATCCCTGCAGCACTTGCTGCCTGGACCACACAATTTAGGTCTTAATTACACCCAGCCTGGCATTGTCAGCTAATTGTGTCACTGTGTTTGTGTTGCCCACCCCAACCCCATTAATCTGTAAGCACCGCAGGCCCAAAGCGGAAGATGCGCTGGACTCAGGAGGGCCGGACCCAGTCCTCTGTCTGCCGCGTCCTGAACAAATTATTTAACCTCTCAGCTTCAGTCTTCCACGGCACCATGGAGATAATGACACCACCTTGCAGGGCTGTTGCCGGGCATAATGGGTGTGAAAGTGTTGTCTAAGATGTAAATCACTGTACAAATGTAAAAGGCTGTTATTATCACCTCTGCTGGATGCAACCGAGCCCCCGTGCACCTCCTGCCTGGTGGAGTGGAGAAGATAAATACCTGATTGATTGAATACAGAATAGCTTTGTGACAGCTCCTGTTACAGGCTCCAGAGAGCAGGGGTTTGAGCCTAATCTTGCAATTACTCCCTTCATTGACAATGCAGAATCTCCTGCTTTCCCCAGAGACTGGAGTACCCTCAGCCTCCAGCTGATAAAGCCCCGGGCTGCTGCCCTGTGAACAGAACCGCATTCTCCAAATGACCCCAGGCTGCACCACAGTGCCCTCGACGGGCAGCACGTGGGGCAGTGGAAGGTGCTTTTACAAAGGTGGTGGTTGGGGACAGGCATTCCGGGGACCCTACCCTGCAGAAGACTCGGCAAGCGCACCAGACCACGAACCCTCTTTTGTTAAAGGTATCACAGCATCCGTGGAAGCGTATAGAATATTTCCCGGCCACATTTTATAAATATGAGAAAGGCGTGTGCGTACAGCCACCCCCACGGGCAGGAGAAAGAGCAGCACTTTCCCTGGGAGGTTTTGATAAGAAGCCAGGCATTTACTTTTCTCCTCTACGCGGAGAACTCTGGTTTAGGCTCCGTGGCAAATGCCATGCAAAGCTCATCTTTTGTTAGTCTCATGAACAATGTTATTGGTTATAATTGGAGCAATTATGGGCTGCTCGAGGAAGCGAAACACAGATGTTTAAGCCCAGGATCAGGGTATTCAAGTCCAAAGCAGCTTGCTTTAAATAGTCAGTTTCCCGAAGCATCCTGCCTCACTTGAAATTCCCCCAGAACTTGCCCATGTTCAGAGTGAGGTGGGGGAGGAGAGGGTGGGTAATGGAGGGAGGGGAGAGACGCACAAAGAGAGAAGAAGAAAGAAAAGGAGGCGGAGAAAGAGCGGGAGAGTTTGGAGGACTTCTCTGTTGTATCCTACAGGACCCGGGCAGAGACCTTTAGTGGGAGGGACGAGCAGGAGGACAAGGAGGTAAAGAAAGAGAAGAGACCTCAAAATGACTCAGGGTCTGGGAGACCAAGGTCATCCCTGCAGAAACCGATGTGGCATTCACGCACAGCGACCGCGATCAGCCACGTCCTACTAGTCCCACACAATGGCCCAAGTCCGACTTTCCCCACACAATTCCTATTCAGTGCCTCTGGGAGAAGGGTCCTCTCAGGACTGAAAACCCAAATCCAAATCAACCAGCCTGAACACAGAATGAGAGAAGGAAGAAAAGGAAGGCAGGCGCACAGAGCAATCACTCACAAGGGTGCCGGGGGGCTTCCCAGGGCTGCCCTGAAAGAGAACGCCTCAAGCTGCCCCTTCTGTAACCGCACTTCCCAACAGCCGGGAAAGACAAAGTAGGGGCCACCTTTGCGAAATCAAAACTTTTCCTCGTCTCCAAGTTCGGCTCTTTCTTCTTCTGCATCTGTCTTCAGGATAGAAACCTCTCCCCTCCACCCTCCACCCTCCACCCTCCACCCGAGCATTGAAAAGAAAGCGAGTGAAGAAATCACCTCACGGGAGGACAGCAGCATCCACCCTGGACAAAGGACAGAGGCTGAGGACAGAGCCCCTGCTGCCCTGCTTTTTCCCAAGGCTCCCAGCAGTTTGTCTCGGGCTGGGGTTCGCATGCATTGCCTACCTGAGAGCTGTCAGGAGCCCGGCTCCCTCGGATGTGTGGTTCCGCTGTCTCAACCACACCAGCATATATATCCTCCCCCCACACGCACAGCTCCCCCTTCCCTGCCCACCTCGATGACACATACACTCGCGGACCCCCTTAAGCAAGTGAACAGCAGAACCTACAATTCTTCCTGGCTGTTCCCCGCCCCCCTGGCTCTGTGCTCAGACCTGTGACATCCCCACCTCCCAATCAGTCCATTCATGCTCAAGCCTGCTTTACCTGGACCCTGTGCAGCCAGGATCCCACAGCCGCCTCCCCTTGCTTCCGGAGCACCGTGAGGGCTGACAGTCTTTTCTGGCAAGTCAGTCAGAAAAAAAGGCTCCTGGTGAGAGTGACGAGGCAGACCCCAGTCCTCGAGTCTCCTTGAGCAACCTTTCTGCCTGAGGAGTGAAGAATAGGAAGCGGGCAGGAGGGGAAGCTCCTACCCAGCTCCCACCGGCTCAGAGCCCAGAGCTGAGCCGAGCCCCTCCTACTGTCACTGCCCCGCAGACAGCAGCCACCATGCCACTCTAGGGAGTGGCTCTACCTGCCGTGGGCCGGCTCAGGAGGCATTTCACAGGTGCCCACCGCCTGGCACCGTGGGAAACGTTGAGGCTTCAGACTTGGACCTGTGTGTCTGCAGTTCTGGCTCTGCTGTCAGAGCCGGTTACTTCTCTGTGCAAGCCCCAGGCCCTCCCCCTGTGACATGGGTGTCACACCTTCTGGGTGGGTGTGAGGAGAAGAACCAGACTCTGTTTGTATTTGGAACATGAGACCTTTAATAACTGTGAGTTCCACATCCCCTCCACCCTTTTCACATTGAACAAAGCCAACACGATCTAGAAAGCCCCCTGTCAGCATCTGGTGTCGCAACAGAGTGCTTTTAGAGCCGCTGCTGTACTTCAGGGTGTCATTCCACGTGCCCCGGAGTCTCGGAAGCTGCTGAAGGTGCTCCCGCCACCCAGTGCGGAGCCTCCTTCCCTTTCCTGCAGGAAGGTAGCTCACCGCAGCCCAGGCGTGGAGGGTTAGTTCTGCAGCATCCTTGCAGCCCTCCTACCTTGCTCTCGGTGAATCACACCATGGCCTCCTCCTTGGCTTTTCCAAGAAGATCTGGAAATATTCCAGAATCCCAGCGTTGGAGCCTATGTTGTCCACAGAGCTCGGGCACCTTCTCGTGTGACAAGTCAGGCTCTCTCATCAACCTGAGACTGGGGGGAGAAGGATTAAAGAAAGCCTGTATTCTGGCTGCTAGTGGGGATGGGCTTCTTTTGGGATGGTGGACGTGTCCTGGAATTAGATGGTGCAAATTGTTGCGCAATAGAGCGAATATACTAAAAACCACTGAGTTGTCTACTTAAGGATGGTGAGTTTTATGTTACATGAGTTATATCTCAATAAAACATAGATAGAAAGAAAGAAAGTACCTGCCCTAGGTAAAGAGCAACAAATTCTAACATGCAAATTTCCCTTCCGCTAACATTCATAGCAAAAGGGCCCAGGAGACTCGCATACTCATGATTTTCCACTCAGATCTTTATTGCCAGAACCTTACACTGTTACTACAGGTCAAAGCCACCACTATGTACTCTGAGAAATCAGTGTGACATGTGGTCAGTTTTGCATCCTGGTATGTGTATATTGGGGCCCCAGCTCTGAAGCTTGATGGAACACATGCCATGGTAGATATTGCTGGTTGCTACCCAAAACCCATACCCCTGTTCTTCCTTATGAAGCAGTACTTTTGATTTTATGCTAGGTGGCAATCTGTTCTGCTAAAAAGCTACATTTTTCAGCCTTCCTTGCAGCTAAGGGTAGCCAATGAGAATTAAGCTGCTAATCATTGTGTGGGGATCCCAGGAACGTTGGTTAAAGGGGGCCAATTTAACTAGAAGAGACCTCTTCTTTGCTCTCTTTCCTTCCTACCTGGAACACAGATGTGAGGGCTGGACCTCTCTCAGCTATTTTGGATCACGAGACACAACTTTGAAGATAAAAACCATGGACTGAAAATGATGGCGCATAAAGCTAGAAGGATTCTGGGTCTCTGCTGATGATGAAGCTATCATACCAATCATGGATTTCCAACTTCCAACTTAAAAAAAAAAATTTTGTTATTGATTTTTTTTTTTTAGAGAGGAAGGGAGAGATAGAAGCATCCATGTGAGAGAGAATCATTGATCGGCTGCCTCCTGCACATCCCCTACTGGGGATCAAGCCTGAAACCTGGGCATCTTCCCTGACTTGGAATCTAACCAGAACCTCTCAGTCCATGGTATGATGCTCAGTCCACTGAGCCACCCTGGCCAGACCCAACTTCCAACTTTTAAAAAAAGAGAAAACACTGAAATATTTATTTCAAATATAAGTCAGGGTTCAGTTAGGTGTTGCTGCATAATAAGCCACACCAAAGTCAGAGGTTTAAACAACAACCCATTTATTTGGCTGGTGATCCTGCAAACTGGCAATTTCGGCTGGAGTCAGCAGGGTGGTTCTTCTGCTTCAGTTTGGCTTTAAGAGGTCGGCTGGCTGTCAGCTGGGGGCACCTTGGTGTGTCTTATCCTTCGTGTGTCTCTCGTATCCTCGCAGCAGGCTGGTGTGGCATGATCTCATAGGAAGGCTGAGGTGCAAGTAGAAGCAAGTACAGTCAAGCAAGAGATCAAGCAGAGGCACGTAGAGTCCTTTGGGGCCTGAGCTCGGAGCTGACACTCCATTGCTTTTGCTGCATTATTAGCTAAAGGCAGTGATAAGGCCGATCTGGAGCCAGGTTGAGTGGAGACTACAAAGTCACAGGACAGAGGGGGTGGCTAGACAGAGGCTGGTCACTGGAGCCGTTGATTCATAACTTTAATGTGCCATATTCTCTTACATGCAGTGGAAAAGTCACCTGATATGATATACCTTTCTTTGAGCATCTAGTCATTTCCAGCTACCCAAGGGCTTTTCTTCCCTTGCCGTTGAGGGGAAGAAAAATACGAGTGAAAACCACTTAACTTCTCTGAACATTCCCCCCTCGTTTAGCAATCAAAGAGTTGAACCCAATGACCTGGAAGATCCCTTGGGGTTGATCGAGGCTGCATATTGTGGTAGGGTGTCTCCTACGATGCATAGAGGGGAAAGACGGGGGAATCCAGGGAGGGAGTATACCACCCTGTTGTGTGGGGGTATAAAAACCTTGCCTCTCAGGAAAGCAAGGAAAGGTCCAAACTGTGTGGTTCTCACAATCACTGAAAGACTTTTTCCTTGGCATTGTGCCGCTGAATCATCGTGCCTTGAGATCCATGGCCTCCCTCGGGTGGAGTAACCTGTCACCGAGCAGCAGGCTGCCCTATTTTTCTGACAGACAGTGTGCATTTACTAGACTCATTGGGGAGGAAAGAGCACACAGCGTATTCCTAGTGATTCGAGGCAGTGGAAACTCACTTCTGCCCCTGCCAGTTTGCCATCCTCTTGCAACAGAGAGGCCCAAGCCATAGTGGCGGCAAGAATTAGCCTCCATTCAGTTCTGCCAGGCAAGTTTTAGAAGCTCTTAAAACCACCATCGGAAAATGTCAGTAAAGAGAGTACAGGGAGGAGATGGCAGCCATAGCTGGGCTCCCATGATGGACAATTGGAACCTCCACCCACCCAGTAATTTTCCCCTCTCAAAAGAGAGAGCCTCTCAACCGCCAGGTATTCGGCCGTTCGGAATTTACTGATTAATTATGGCACCTACAGCCAATTGGTCTCCTTAGTAACCACACTAGCAGGGTCCCAGCTGGAAAAGCTTCTCCTTATTTTCAAAGAGGGCAAACCCTCTTCACATTTAAAAACACCTTACATCAGAACACAGATGGGTTTTTAAAACAGAGAGACACACAAGTTTCTCCACAACTTTGCTTCTAAAATCTGAATGGGCTTTTGGGCTATTGAGGGAAAGTTGAATTTATTAATTAGTAAGAACTAGGTTTTTTAAAATTTGATTTGAGAGAGAGAGAGAGAAACATGGATTTGTTGTTCCATTTATTTATGCATTCATTGGCTGATTCTTGCATGTGCCCTGACCCAGGATCAAACCTACAACTTTGGCATATCAGGACGACACTCTAACCAACTGAGCTACCCAGTCAGAGCTAGGTTATTTATTTATTTTTCTTTATTGATTTCAGAGAGAGAGGAAGGGAGAGGGGGAGAGAGACAGAAACATCGATGAGAGAGAACATCGATTGGTTGCCTCCTGCATGCTCCACACTGGGGATCGGGCCCACAACCTGTGCATGTGCCCTGACCAGGAATCAAACCGGCGACCTCGTGGTGCATGGGTCAATGCTCAACCACTGAGCCACACTGGCCAGGCCAGAGTGAGGTTTTATTTTATTTATTTATTTATTTATTTTATCCTCACCCGAGGACATTTTTTGATATTTTGTTCGGAGGGAGAGAGAGAGAGAAACATCGACATGAAAGGGACACGTCGAGTGGTTGCCACCCACACGACCCAACCAGGGTCGGGGACAAACTGCAACCGAGGCACATGCCCTTAGCGGGAACCGAACCCGGGTCTCTCTGGACCGCAGGCTGACGCTTCAACCGCTGAGACAAACCGGCCAGGGCCAGAGCTAGGTTTTAAATGACGCACCAGGCAAGTACAATTTCACAGCAAAGAACCAATGATGGTCCTTACAAGGGCAGGTTTTACTTCCCGGAGTTTCCAGCCGCGTGTTGTGCTAGATGACGTGAGAACAAGAAAGAGCTGGACTCAAGTGTCCTTGCCCTCAGGAAGAAGACTGGGGGACAAGACATACTAAGGAATGGTGGCCAGGACAGCACAGACTAGAGTGGCTCAGACAATCAGAGAATTCGAAAGCACATAATAAGGTGCTAATTGAAGATCAGACTGGAAGTGAACGAGAAGCTTGAATCAGAGGGGGAGAGGATGTTTACCTTTCTTTTTGAACAAAATGTTAAGATGCCGAGGATCAGTTGCAGGTTCTGAGTGGGCAGAAAAGGGACAGCCTCAATATGGGCAAG